TGTAATTCAGGAAATCGAAAAGCGATTAAACCAGAACAGAATAAATATTACGAGTTTGGTTTGTTGGTTTGTTTGTTTTTTAACTTAAAACTATATAGATATATATTTACATAGCCAACTCTATGATACAATAAAATGAGATAAAAATCACAAAAGGTCATATATTTTTTTTGTCTTAAATTTTGCTTTTTTCAAATATATATATAAAACCCCAGGATTTACTGCTACCGTAGGAAATTCAGAGATCAGTCTGTGCTGAAAATTAATTAACATGGAAATAGAAAAAAAAACCACCCCAAAACCCACTCTTGCTTACAGCAAACAGATAACAAGGTAAGACAATTTCATTCCAATAAGCCTGAAATAATTTCTTCAGGTTGATTAACCATATTTTATATATCTGGATAAAAATACACTTTATTCAATAGCATTTCCCCTCATCATCTGTTAATTTGCCCTTTACTAAACTTTATTCTGAGCAGTAAAAAGGAAAGCGTGTTCTAAATTGATGACTAAAGTTATATTACAGGGAGTCCTTGACTTACAACCGTTCATTTAGTGGCTGAAGTTACAACAACACTGAAAAAAGTGACTTACACCGAGTCCTCCTAGTTATGACTGTGGTCTTGTGAACATGGCAACTGGCATGTATTTTACAAAGGCTGCAGCATCCTGGGTCACCAGGTGTGACCTTCCCAGGGGGCTTCTGACAAGGAAAGTCAACTGGGAAAGCCGGAATTCGCTTAATGAAATTACTCGGTTAACAACCGCAGTGATTTGTTTAGCATCTGTGGCAAAAAAGGTCATAAAACTGGGTGTGATTCGCTTAATGGCTGCATCTCTTAGCAACGGAAACTCCAGTCCTAATTGCAGTTGTAAGTCAAATGCTCCCCGTAATAACGTCTAAACATTTGGGAATCATCTTAAAATCTTCCCGTCTTTGTGAATTACCAGGAAAGGATGTAGTACTTCCTTAAGCTGATGCGCTGCGTATGAAAACGCAATTTTAAAGTATACAAAAAAAACAAAGATGGAAGTGGTTGCTTTTCCCAGGATTCGGATTGCACTGTCGCTCCCGAAGGCAACTTACTCCAGACAAATTGTGCGGGATTGAGAATTCAGCGTGCACCTTATTTCTCCCGACAATCCTATCTTCTTGCATAACCTATGGCTAAATAAAATTATTGCTAACCAGTAATAATAATAATAATAATGATAAAGTTGGAAGGGACCTTGGAGGTCATCTAGTCCAACCCCCTGCTCAGGCAGGAAACCCTATACCATTTCGGACAAATGGCTGTCCAGTCTCTTCTTAAAAACTTCCAGTGTTGGAGCATTCACCGCTTCTGGAGGCAGGTTGTTCCACTGGTTAATTGTTCTAACTGTCAGGAAGTTTCTCCTTAGAGAATAAGGTCTTAGAAAATAAGGTAATTCACCCATTCATGGGCCTAAATCATAGAAGCCACCCAGCAATTTGAACCGAGTCAAGCTAAAGGGCGATACGGATCATCTGATATTCCACTGATATTTCTAGACATGCACATAGTCCTCGACTTACAGCAGTTTGTTTAGTGACCATTCACTGGAAAAAAGTGACTTATGACCGCTTTTCAGACTTACGGCCGTTGCAGCCTCCCCAGGGTCACGCCATCAAAATTCAGCTGCTTGGCAAACGACTCATATTATGACGGTTGCAGCGTCCTGGGGTCACACTATCTCCTTTTATGACCTTCTGACAAGCAGAGTCAATGGGGAAGCCTGATTCATTCACAATTGTTTCACTTAGCGACATAAATTTTGCGCTCAGTTGCGTAAGTCGTAAGTCAAGGACTACCTGTATTCCTAAGAATCTGTGCTCCTTTGATTCCTCTGCTTGTACAGAAAATCTGGCTTAATCTCCTTAAAATAAGGGAAGCTTGTACATTACCCCAAACAAGGAACAATCTAAGGAATGCAGAAAAAGAAATGCAGATATACACATATAAACATTTTTTTCAATTATTAGGCACCTTGTTTTTAAAAGCTGCTTTTCGATCAGCCTGGCCCGATCACAAGAATATGTCAAACTATAAAATTATTCCGTGATCTATGAGGATATTTAAATAAGCGGCTTAGAATCTCGTTTCCCCTCTACAGATTGACTGTTGTTATTATTAGCTGCATATTCCTAATGCTCTTTATCTGATGCCTTAGAGTGCCATTTCTCACCGATGAGATTTTATTACTCCTGAATAGGTCATAAATATTTAAGCCAACTTTATAAATAATCTGACCCAGATTGCAAGCCCATCCAAGCAAATCAATGTGACCAATCTCATAAAGAAAAGTCCTGTGTTTCCATTATAAATCCAGATACCTAATAACAATAGAAAGCCTATGATGGCTGAGACAATTAATGGGAAAGTTTTTTTTTAAATGAAACAACTTTTTAAAAACTTCCTTCGCCTTCAGCTGAACCTTATTTATAATTGCTTTCAAAGGAACATGCCTAGCTGACATTTCCAAAGGGAAAAAAAAAAGCATTGAGTTCAAACACCTCCAGAAAAGTGCTTTCAATAAAGGTTGTTTCAAGGAGAACTGATAAATCCAAAGTCACTGTGGGCTTTTGCAGCAAAAGACTTTTATGTCTTCTGCAGAACGAGTTCTTCTAGATTGAAGAATGGAAGTCAACAAGGATGGAAGCCCAAATGTGAAAGAGCCAAATTTCTGTCTTTTCTTTCTTCATATTGGAAAATGAGCAAACAGGACTATCACACTTGACTCGCATCTTAAAGATGTTAAGATATACATCTTTAGAATGAAGCTGTATCAGCCTCTTCAGAACAATGGAAGCATTCCATGCTTATGGCACCCCATCCAGGCGTGCATGTACAAAATGATCCTAGTAGGATTCAAAGACAGCTTTAACAAGATGGAAGCCATAAACTCAAAGGAGATTTGACTGACCTAGAACAGGGGTAGGGAACCTTGGCTCTTTTATGACTTGTGGACTTCAATACCCAGAATTCCTGAACCAGCCATGCTGACTCTGGAATTCTGGGAGTTAAAGTCCACAAGTCATAAAAGAGCCAAGGTTCCCTACCCCTGACCTAGAACATTAGACTGACTGAGCACATTCAGGGACCTTCTGATCTCTGTATCAAGGGCACAAGAGCTAATTTCATAGAGATGGCTTAAGGATGGACTTAATCGTTCAGGACTGTGGATTCATATATACGACCAAAATCAGGGCAATACTTCAAAATCCCTCTGAGCAGCACAGAAATCTTTGCATATTTCTTAGTTTGAGGCTGGACTCCACCTTGGGATTCTGTTTTCTTCTCTCCTTTTTGTAAGATGAAGAACTTTTTTGAACACGTGAAGAAAGCTACTTCTTTTTCACTCCACTATGAGCAATATCAGCCCCTACTCATTTGGATTTACGGAGCAGGGTTTGCAAACACAGAGGCAAAAGCTTCAAAATAGGTTGGCATCTTCCCTTTGGACTCCCTTTCTTACGATGGTCATCTAGGACAGGGGTCCCCAACCCCCGGTCCGTGGCATGCAAAACAGTGAAGCCTCATTCACGAGATGCAGGCAGCACGGAAAACCACGTGGAAAAACCTCTCTCCATGGAACCGGTCCCTGGTGCCCAAAAGGTTGGGGACCTCTGATCTAGGACAATGCAGATCTATGCTTAATTGCAAGGATACTGTCTGATTTTGCTGATGGTAGGAGTAGGTTTTAAGGATGCTTGGATGAAACCTACCTCTAGAATCTGAATAGAATCAGTTTATTCTTTGCTCATTATTCACCGTAGCCATCAAATCCTACATGTTTATACTATTATACCTAGAAATGTTCAAGTCTCATATCTTCTCACCCCATTTATTAGGCCACCACATAAAACCCAATATTTTTTTTTTTAAATAAAACCTCATCCAGAATTATGGTAGTACTTTGAACCAATGCTCAATTTTCCACCTTATTTTACCTGGCTCCTATCATTTTGTTGCTGTGATGTTTATTCTATATTGTAGATCATCGTGAGTAAATCTACTTGTTGCAAGCCCAGGCAGGTCATGAGTGTTTTAAAATAAATGCATCTATGCTGAATACAAAAATTCTGCTCCAACCTTTTGTGATAGACAGTGGCTACTGGGCTACTCCCGTAGGGCACCTTTTGGTCCCACCCTCATTATTTGGGGGGATGTGTTAAAAGACGTCCAATTTCTCTATACTGTAATAGCTAACATATCATCCACGTTTTTAGAAAAAACTCACCAAGGGCATGATAAAGTGCACGTTCATTCTGCCAAAAGTGACAGGGAAAGCTTCACTTAATATGTTGCAATCTAAAAAAAAAAAAAAGGGGGGGGGGTTAAGTGCACATTGAACATGGCAAATCCTCTAGAAAAAGGCATCACAGGTATTTCAAGGAGGAGGAGGAGAAAGAGAAGAAAAGAAGAAGGAGGAGGAGAAGGAGAAGAGGAGGAGGAGGAGGAGGAGGAGAAGAAGGAGGGGGAGCAACTCTGTGGTTGCTCCTAAAATCTCTGTTCCATCTTCACTGCTGCCTGCACCATAAAATGAGTCATACATGGGCAGCAGCTGAGCATTTTGGAAATGCTTACCGGTAAATCAAAATCTCCATACAACACCCACTGCAACTGCAACTTTACATTAAGGTAAACTGAGGTTCAGATCTCCCGAGACAAGAGAGCTCCCCCCCCCGTTTACTTACAAACCCAGAATGGGTTAGAACAGTAAGATCTAAAAAACAAAAGTTGTCACCTCTTTCTTAAAGAAAGGAAGGAAGAAGCAAGGAGTAATTTTTAGAACGGAAAAAAAAAAAGAAGTGGAAAAAAAAAGTCTTTAGCCTCTATGTACAAATCACATTGTAAGGAAGAACACCCATCTTTTCACTTTTTTGTAGAAACATATACCTAGGTTTAAAACACATATATATATATACACACACACACACACACACACGCCAAATATTTTGGGGTGGGGGAAAGTTGCTGTCCCCTAATTGTCGACACTCAGTTTGGAGAGTCCTTGCCGAAAATCTTGCAATTCGTCTATCTTTCCGTCTAGGACATCTAAAAAAGTCTGCAGCTCTGTCTTCAGGTTATTCTGCCGGTGTTTGCTCTCTTCTACTTCCGTCCTTAAAGCTTTGACTTTCTCTTCAAGGTCTTTATTCCTTTTCTCAGCCACCTGGCAAAACAGAAAGAAAGTTTGAAGGTACCCTTCAGATATTGGAACTCGGCTATCCTATCTCCCTTAGTCCTTCTTTTCATTAGACTAGACCAGGGGTAGGCAACCGTGGCTCTTTTATGACTTGTGGACTTCAACTCCCAGAATTCCTGAGTCAGCATGGCTGCTTCAGGAATTCTGGGAGTTGACGTCCACGAGTCATAAAAGAGCCAAGGTTGCCTACCCCTGGACTAGACATACCCAATTCCTGTTAACTGCTCTTCGTATGTTATATAGTGGTATATCATGCCATTGATGATTGAACAAGACATTACCTGGTGAGTTTAGCGGTTTGTGTGATTTCCACTCAAAACGGGAAGAACATTTTCAAATCATAAATGGGAAGAACGGCTCATATGTATAAATAAGATGAACATATTGTAGCTATATCTTCTTGTAGAGATGAGGAATTTGGAGAGAGGAGGAATCTGTAACCCTCTAGATCAGGGGTCTTCAAACTTGGCCCTTTTATGACTCGTGGACTTCAACTCCCAGAATTCCTTAGCCAGGCATGCTAGTTGAGGAATTCTGGGAGTTGAAGTCCACAAGTCAAGGGGTCTTCAAACTTGGCTCTTTCATGACTTGTGGACTTCAACTCCCAGAATTCTGGCTGAGGAATTCTGGGAGTTGAAGTCCACAAGTCATAAAAGGGCCAAGTTTGAAGACCCCTGCTCTAGATACTGATGAATGACAAGCAACCACCAGCAGCCACAACCAGTAGGGCTAATGGTGGGGGATGATGGGACTTATAGCTTAGCAATGCCTAAAGGACTATCTATTCTCAATCCTTACCCATGGAACTGGCTTCACTAAGAGCCAATTTCACCCTCCTGACTTATATCAGCATGAATCATTGGCCCTGTCCCCTGCCTATAAGAAAAAAAAAAGATATTGGCTGTAGGGTTGGAGCAATCTTTTATTTAAACCGCAACATGTTTTACCAAAGACTAATAACTATGCATACCTGCAATTTCTGAGAAACCGTTTCACATTCTGTCATGAGCTGAGGTATAATTTCGCCCTGTTTCCGTAGATCTTCCAATTCCTAGAGAAATGTGCATGCCATGAAATTATAATCATATACACCCTCACCTTCCCACTTTCTTAAATATATCTTGAAAACATTAGGAGAAAGCACTAGCACCTGAGCGTTCGGGGAACTTTCCACTGTCAAAGGAAATGAATCATTAAAATGTTAACTTAAGGGGAAAACATGTCTTATTGCCGTGCTTTACTGCAAACGTGGCAATAATTTCAACATTTAATGATACCTTCTGCTTTAATAAATAGTCCAAATACAAAGATATGTTTATACATTAAAATGTTGTGTTACCCTTGGGCGGTGAGAAGAGAATGTATTAAAATAGCAACCTCCATGGCGAGCGAAGACTTTGATACAAAATAGGATGAACTCTTAGCCTTCAAGGCAACATCTTGAAGAAGAAAACCAGACTAGTTGGGGAAGGGATTTCATGAAAAACTTCCTCCATCCCCAATGGGACACTTTTTGGGTGGACTGGCTCCAGAGAAGCTCTTTCTAAAAACAGCAGATCAGCACCAGCCAAGAGAACAGCGCCAACTAGCTAACAGGGGAGTAATGAGCATTATAACTGCAAGATAGAAGATAGCATTTTTAAATGGCTGGGGAATAATTTTTTTTTCATTTATTTATATTCTGCCTTCATTATTTTTATACACTACTCAAGGCAGCTAATATCTCCAACATAACATCCTCCTCCTACTTGACCCACCGCAAGAATCCTACATGGTGGGTTGGGCAGAAAGAGAGAGGATGGCCCAAAACCAGCCCGTTGGTTTTGATGGGTACCGTGGGACTAGAACTCACGGTCTCCTGGTGATTGACTCAAAGTCACCCAGCTGGCTTTCATGGCTATGGTGAGACTAGAATGCATGGTCTCCTGGTGATTGGTCCAAGGTCACTCAGCTAGCTTTCATGGCTAAGGCGGGACTAGAACTCACAGTCTCCTGGTGATTGGCCCGAGGTCACCCAGATGGCTTTCATGGTGTCATTGCTTTGACACATGGCTAAGGAGGGACTAGAACTCACAGTCTCCTGGTGATTGGTCCAAGGTCACTCAGCTGGCTTTCATGGCTAAGGCGGGACTAGAACTCATCCTGGTGATTGGCCCAAGATCACCCAGCTGGCTTTCATAGCTAAGGCGGGACTAGAACTCACAGTCTCCTGGTGATTGGTCCAAGGTCACTCAGCTGGCTTTCATGGCTAAGGCAGGACTAGAACTCAGAGCCTCTGGCTTTCAAGCCTGATGCCTTAACCACTAGGTCAAGCTGGCCCTTGGAATTCTTTTCAGTGGCCACTGTGGAAGGGGAATAATGAAGCCAATTGGGCAGAACAAGGATTTCTTGATTTAGCAAAGGGAGCATTTTGTTAAGCCTATATTGCTGCTTATTAATCTCCACAGGGCTGGGGGCTCTGCTTCCTGTAAGGGGGGACTTTGGGTGTAAAAGGGGGAATTCAGAAACCTCCCATTGTTTCCCATCTTGCCTTCAAGGCGTACCCATTCCACGACAGCATATACAAATATAGTCTGCAGCTGGAAAAGATGACTAAAATACAGATAGAATTTAAGCCAGAACTGTTTTTGTTAGGAATATTAGGACTTGATTATGGGAAAGAGAATGAATATTTAATACTACAGGCATTGACAGCTGCGAGAATTGCATTTGCCCAATTTTGGGAAAATGAAAATTTACCACCTGGTCAGATTATAACCACGAACATCTTAGAATGTGCAGAAACGGATAGACTAACTTTAGAGATTTAAAGAGAAAGAAGATTCAGTGTATTTTAAAACATGGGGAAAATTTTTTTATCAACGGTTAGCATTACGTTACAGCGAGAAAGGATTGTGAAATTTAACACGATGGATGATATTTACTCACTAAGCTTTACTTCTCTGATTATTCTTACTATCAGTGATTATAATTGTTTAGTGTTATATTAACTACTGTCATTCAATATTTGTACCCGGACGATAGTCTGCTTGCTAAAGCGTTGAATTCTTTGTGGGGAGCAACACCACTATTGTAGCTACCCTTACCCTTATCCCAACCCTATTCCCTAACCCCACCCACTACCTACACCAATCCTATCCCCTTTCTACCCTTATAAAACCTAATAAAATATTTTTTTTAAAAAAATAGTCTGCAGCTGAAGAGGAAAAACAATGTATTTTCTCTCTCTCTCTCCGCTGCCCTCTCCTCCTGGCCTTGCATCCCCACTCAGAAAGCGTCCACAGGTGCTCCTTCCACCCTGTCACACTTTCCAAGGGGAATTCACACAGGCTCTGTCTTGCAAAAGCAAAATTAGCTTTCCGTCTAGCGCTGGCTGGAGCTTGCTAACCCCGGGGCGCTGCTGGAGAAGCACACGCCGGGCAAAACCTCGCCAGCCAATGAAAAGGCAGCTCATCCTATTCACAAGTCTGGAGAGTTACAAAATACTATTAGGAGTGCCGTCCCCCGTGGAGGAGGCTGGGTGAAAAAAGCTCGTTTTCCCTTTTTCCTTTGAAGCTTGATGGGCAGAAGACCTTTGAATCTGGGCGTCAACCTCTATTAGTCTGAACTGATTGGGTGTACGGCCACAACTGAGCCCAAAATTTCTGTCGCTACGTGGAAACATTTGTCAAGGGATTTCGCCCCATTCTGGGACCTTTCTTGCCCCAGTTGCTAAGAGAATCCCTGCCGTTGTTAGCTTAGTCACACGGTTGTTAAGTGAATCTGGCTTCCCCATTGGCTTTGCTTGTCAGAAGGTCACAAAACGGGAACACGTGACTCTAGGACGGTTGCAACCGTCATAAATATGAGCCGGTTGCCAAGTGTCTGGATTTGGGGTTTATTTTATATTATTATTGGCTACGTCTAGTTTAATGAAGAGAAGGACGAGGGGGCACATGATAGCAGTCTTCCAGTATCTCAGGGGCTGCCCCAAAGAAGAGGGAGTCAAGCTATTCTTCAAAGCACCCGAAGGCAGGACAAGAAGCAACGGATGGAAACTGATCAAGGAGAGAAGCAACCTAGAACTAAGGAGAAACTTCCTGACAGTTAGAACAGTTAACCAGTGGAACAACCTGCCTCCAGAAGCGGTGAATGCTCCAACACTGGAAGTTTTTAAGAAGAGACTGGACAGCCATTTATCTGAAATGGTATAGGGTTTCCTGCCTGAGCAGGGGGTTGGACTAGATGACCTCCAAGGTCCCTTCCAACTTTATTATTATGGATCATCGCACAGTCAGCCAGATGTTCAGACTGGATTTGGCATTTTGCCTACCTATCGAGTCCTTACCAAGGACCTGGAATAGGCAGATGTGGATGTATGATGGTATTACAGATATCGTCACAGGATGGAAGCAGTTCCTAGTAAGGGCGCCTTTTGCAATTGACTAATGGCAAATTTATTATTATTATTGTTGTTATTATTATTATTATTATTATTATTATTATTATTATTATTATTATTATTATTGTGGAGATGCTACAAAGATTGTAAGTCTGAAAAATGGTCATAAGTCACTTTTTCCAGTGCCCTTGTAAGTTCGAATGGCAGTAAACAAACTGCTGTTAGGTCCAGGATACCCTGTATAACAGGCCATTGTTCTTAACCAAAGCCTACAACATTCCTGGTCTGTGTGCTTGTGTTCAGGAGTTCGATTAAACCCGAAACAGGAAGGGCAAAATTTAGAAGAGATTCTCCGGTGAAAAGCTCACTCCTTTGTACAAGTATAATGATTAAAAAAGAGAGCGAGAACAACCCTGCTGTCAAGTCTGGAAGAGCTTCGGAACCATTGCCAAAGACAACGTTCCATTATCCTGAGAGAGTGGCTTTTATATGCAGATATTGTATAATTAATGCCTTTTATTGTGACTTAATAGATTAGGAACTGTTATGTTTTAATGTGTCCTGTAAATTTGTAATCTAGTCTTTCTCTTCTCCAGACTAGCCATACCCAAATCCTGCAACCGCTCTTCGTATGTTTTAGTCTCCAGGCCTTTAATCATCTTAGCTGCTCTTCTCTGCACCTTTTCCAAAGTCTTAACATCTTTTTTGTAATGTAGTGACTAAAATTGGATGCAGTATTCCAGGGGTGGCCTTTACCTACCAATTCCTTATCCTGAAGTTCTGTTTCCAGCTCCTGAAGACGCCTGCTAAGCTGGGCGTTCCGATCGCGCTCCTTATCGATTTCATTGCACTGTTCTTCCAGCTCCTCAATCTTAAAGAAAGAAAAAAAACATGGCCTCTTAAACTTTGTACTTGAAGTAGACTCTCGGCTGGAGTTTTAGCACATGAGCTCGACATTAACTGTAAAAACTATATATATATATATCCCTTCTAACAATGAGTCCTGGTGGCGCAGTGGTTAGAATGCAGTATTGCAGGCAAACTCTGCCCATAGCCTGGAGTTTAATCCTGACAGAGCTCAAGGCTGACCCAGATTCCATCTTTTCGAGATCAGTAAAATGAGGACCTAGAACCAGTGGTGGCGAACCTATGGCACGGGTGCCAGAGGCGGCACTCGGAGCCCTCTCTGTGGGCGCACGTGCCATTGCCCCAGCCTTGCCTCCCCCCACGACCTCCTCCTCTCCAGCAGCCCCCCCTGAAGGAGAGTCGCCCCTGAGAGTGGCCCACGCAGAGCAGCGCAGCCAAGGACATGGCAGCCAGGCAGTGTAGACAAGACTCTGCCCTCACGCCCCATCATGCAGTTGATGCTGCAGGACGCGGGCAGAGGGCGTGGCCGCCATGGTGCTGCTGGGCTGCCTGGGCAATCTGCGGCGGGCCCTGGAGGCGGTGAATGGTCCTGTGGGCAGGCGGGGTGGGGGATGCGGGGCAGAGCGGGGGCGGAGCAGGGAAGTGGAGCGCGGGTGGGGCCAGTTTTTGGGCACTCGGTCTCTAAAAGGTTCGCCATCACTGACCTAGACTGTTGGGGCCAAGATGCTCAGAGAGTGCTCTAAAGCGCTAGGGGGCAGTATATAAGTCTACATGCTATTGCTACGGCTAATGAAAAAGGTATCATTGCCCATTCAATTTTGAGGGACCCCTTAAGAAAAGCAACCTCCATCTTTAAAGAGTTTTAAGCTCTTCACCCTCAACAGATTTAACGAGGATCTTAGCAACAACGGCAAAAAAACAAACAAACCCCAGATGCTTTCATTTTGTGACATCCCGTACCTTACTCTGCAGTTGATCATTTTCGTCTTTGCAAAGGGAAAACTGCTTTTTCCAGTGTTCTATGCTGGCTGCGGATTCCTGGAGGGCCGTCGTGAGTCTTGCGTTGCTCTCTCTAAGCGTCTGCAGTTCTGATTCCCATTTCTTCACGTTGGAGGTACTAAGGACGGCAAAATACACACAGGCACTCTTGAAATTTGTCAGGGCAAGCTTAATTGTGATTTGTCTTTTTTTTTTTTTTTTCAAAAGGAGCAAAAGAACAAACGCCCCCTCCCTATTCCACCTTTGCGTTTAGTGGAGTTTTCAGGGTAAACAAAATAAATTACATCGCCATTAGGTTCCTCGTTTTGTTGCGTTCCTACACTCTTACAAATTAAAAGAGGGCACAGTCATGATTATTTAATATTGTTTAGTCCTCTCAAGCTGCAAAAAGAATCAGCATTATCCAAACATGTCTACAGTTTGCCTTATGCATTGTAAATTATTTTACATACTCCTGGCTGAAAAGAATTCTTGTGAAAGAGGTATATAAATGTGCCCTAAACTTGTATAAATCTGGTATGAAGCGAAATGTGTGAATCCGTTCGGTATGTAAGACATGACTCTTCTCCCAGAACACAAATTGAAAACAAATTGAAAAAAAACACTTTGCTATGTTGGGTTTATCTAGCACCATATGTGGCCACCAGATGTTCTTTGGTCCTCAAAAGCTCTTAGAACAAGCAGAAACTTTTATAATTCAGAACATGCTCACATCATAGAGTTACCGTTATCACTATCTCCCTACAACGGCAGCATCGGAAGCAAAAATGGATGCGATCCAGTTGCACCGTTTTGTTTGATTTTTAGGATCGCACCATTTATCCACCCCCGCAGGAGGAAGAGTCCTCTCTACACAGTGGAGAAGCGGATCGTGAAAATAGTAGAACTTGCAAAAATGGCTAGCTTGATTTGTTTGATCAGGGATAGAAAAACGACAACTATTTTTTATGAAAGACTGGAAATCCTTTTTGCATTTTTTTTTGTTTGTTTGGTGAAGATGGATAAGAGTGAACTGGAGATTTCTAGATTTATCAACTAAAAGGGAATGCAGATGGGGAAAAGAGAACTACCTTGTGTAATTTTGAGAGAGGAAAATGAGATTAATGGTCTATAAGTGCAATAAAATCACTTCTCTAAATATTTTTCCCTTTGTTATGGCTCTTTCCTTTCCTTTCCTTTCCCTCCCCTTCTCTCCCCCTTTCTCCTTCCCCCTTTCCCCTTTCCTTCCTTCCTTCTTTCCTTCCTTCCTTCCTTCCTTCNAAATTCAAATGACAAGGGAAGAGAAGGACAAATTGAGAATCTTTTCTTCAGGAAATGTTAACTTTTTTTTTTTAATATAGGGAGAGTTAAATCTGAGCTGGAAGGATTAAAATGCTCCAATAGGATCCCCTCTTTGTACTCAAAAGGAACCATGTTCTTCCTGTGATTTTTCACATGCCAGTAAAGGAGAATATTCGTAGCTCAGGGTTGAAATGAGGGGTCCTTGGTGCTCTCTGAGCTTGCTTGTTTTTTTTTTGCTGATGTTTTCTTGCCAGTTTGGCTAATAAAACATCTGCCAGAAAACAAGCAAGCTCAGAGAGCACCAAGGACCCCTGGTTGTTACATACATTGTAGTATCACCTTCAGTTCTGACGTCCAGAAGTCAGAGACTGCATTCACAAACAGAGCAGTAAATCAAAATGTGCTGATGAAACAACAGCTTAGCCCAACGTTTAAACTCAGCCAATCTACAGGAAATCATTTTTTTTTCTCAGCCAATGCTTTATTTTAAATTATTAAAATTTATTTCAAGCTCTTAAAGCTTTCGGTCGAAAGCCAGTCTTGCCTTTTGCAAGGTTGATATGACAAATTAGTCGTTCCCGCATCCTTGAATAGAGAGCAGAAACAGAATCAGAATATTGCTAGAAGGGACCTTGGAGGTCTTCTAGTCCAGCCCCCTGCTCAAGCAGAAGACTCTAGATCATTTCAGACAGGTGTCAGATCATAACTTACTTGTGAATGGTTACTGGAAGTTTCCATTTTTTCTTGGGACCGATCTCTGGCTAGTCGGGCAGCTTCTTTCACTTCCTGAAATTTCTCAGCAAACTAAAAATGGGAACACAAGGACCAAAACATTGCCTTAATTTTGGGATTCTAGAGCTATGGAAGTTGAAAAAAATGCATTTTGCATTGAGTTATGTCTTGGTGTCACAGACTGCAATAAAGGTGGGCATACACAGACATAAGACTTCAGTAGACACATTAGCTTGCTCCAATTCTGAATTCTTCTCCATGAATAGGAAAGAGTAGGAAAGAAAACAAAAATACTCAGACATTGGAAAAAGCTAGATAAATGCCCTTTCTGTTTCTCTATAACAGTGGTGGCGAACCTATGGCACGGGTGCCAGAGGTGGCACTCAGGGCCCTCTCTGTGGGCACACGTGCCGTCACCCCAGTCCTCGGCCTTCAGCTGGGTTTTATAAAACCTTTTCGCTTTAGGCCTCCGCCGCTGTGTGCAAAAAAAAAAAAAAAGGTTCAATCAATCAGTCAATTTCAACTTCTCACGGGAAAAAAAAAGATCTCACAAAGTTGGAATTAATGATTGAACCTTTTAGTCCCACCCAGTCTGCTGTTACCACCGTAGCCACGCCCACCCAATGGGCCACACCCACCCAATTGGCCACACCCACGTAATGGGCCACACCCACCCAGCACCTGACGATGCATAAGTGGGTTTTGGGTTGCAGTTTGGGCACTCGGTCTCTAAAAGGTTCGCCATCACTGCTCTATAAGAAAGTGTCCTAAAGCACCTTAGAGCAGGGGTCCCCAATCTTGGCCACTTTATGACTTGTGGACTTCAAATTCTAGGAGTTGAAGTCCACAAGTCATAAAATGGCCAAGGTCGGGGGCCTCTGCCTTAGAGTCCAACTATTTTAACATAGCGTTTGCTGGCTTTTAAGAATTCACCCAACAAGCTAATCCATCATTCAGTTTTTGCTTAGCTCGCGGCTTGCAAACTGTGGGTTATGGTTTATTATATGCAAAAACACCTGTAGTTGTTCAGCAAGTCCTATTTCCCACTCCTACCCCGAAAATCTACAAACCGCGCAGTTCCATTACCACCTACTCTTATTTTCTTTCCAGTTGTTGGCACTTGGCAAGGAGCCACACTGCCCCTCCCCCCCTGTGAATGAAAGCAGCACCTTTGGTTACAGAGTACTGCACACTATCGGGTTGTGGGTTTTTTTGCCATAAGATTTTATACTAATAAGGTTGCTGAAAGATAACATCTGGATGCAAACTGGTGCCAAACCATTTGGATGCAAAGTCCAAGAACCGCTTCTCCAGCTGTATTCTAATGGATACCAGTAGACCTCTGTTTTGCCCCAAGACTGGATAATTCTAATTTTAAGAATATGAAGAGAGGCAAAAACAAGTGTGCAGTACATTGCTGAAATGAATTTGAAGCTTTTTAAAAGAGGAGAAGGAGAGGAAGGAGGAGGAGGAGGAGGAGGAGGAGGAGGAGGAGGAGGAGGAGGAGGAGGAGG